CTATTCGAGAACTCACTGTATAATCCAAATGGCCTCCTTTTGGGTTCTCTCTGTGGCTTTGGAGCCTGTCCTGGTACTCACTCTGTAGATCAGGCTGATCTCAGACTCACAGAGATCGGCCTGCCTCTGCCTCTGCCTCCAAAGAGCTGGGATTAAAGGCATGTGCCCCCCCCCCCCCCCAGCTTGGCCTCAAATTTGTAATCCTCCTGCTTCAGCCTCTAGTGCTGTGCTACCACACATGGCTCAGTTTTCATTATTTTAGTCCTGTTAAGTATTTTACCCTATTTTCATTCCTAAATATTTACTGCAGGATAGAAACTGAATGCTGGTGTGCAGCTCATTGGTAGAACACTTGTTCAGTATACATGAAACCAGGTGTTAACTCCTAAGTACCCCCCACACACACACACACACAATTCAGAAAGAAACTTTCGGGTTTTAAGATATGATCTCCAGTTTGCAATCCTCCTCTCTTTTGAGTGCTGAGATTACAGTGGTGCACCACCACAGCCAGCTAGAAAGAAGCATTTGACTCATCACATACTTTTTAATGCACCTGACCAAATAAATTACTCTATTCTACAGTTCTTTTTTTGTTCTAGCCTGGCCTGGATACCTGAGATACATGAGATTGAAGGTCTATTCCTCTTAGCCTGCTTTATTGTTGGTTTTTTTTTTTTTTTTTTTTTTTTTTTTTTTTTTTTTTTTTTTTGTGTCTCTATTATGCAGTTCTGGCTGCCCTGGACTTCACTATGTAGACCAGATGAGCCTTGAACTCAGAGAGCTCCATCTGCCTCTGCCTCCCAAGTGCTGGGATCAAAGCTGTGAGCCCCCAAGCTTGGCTACTGTTTTGTTTTGTGTTTTTATATTTCAAGTATTGTACTTTTTGCACATATTAATCCTGTCAGCAAAGTAGTTTGATTTTTCTTGAGCTAATCCTGGTAGGGTAGTATTAAATAATTATGGTAAAATTGCAATATCTAGATCCTACTTGAAAAAAATGAAACAGTTGGGTATTTGATTATATTAAACAGCTATAATTAATTTTCTCCAGAAATAATAACTTGCCATTTTTAGGAGCCTTGTGCATACTGCACTATAAATGAAGTGTGTATCTAGGATTCGATTCACTGAAATCCAGGGAAGTTACAAATAAACTAATATTGCCCTTGAATTGTTGAAATTGAATAAAGGTGTCTGAGCGTTTTATTGTGATGTTTCTGTGTGTGCTTTAAGTTTTTCATTTGTGTTTTAAAGTAATTATGAGGGTAATGGACATTTTAAATCTATTATAAGTTATAATTCAAATAGGCTTAGTATATCTTTTTAAAAAAACATTGTATTTTATGTGTATGGATGTTTTGTCTATCTTTGTATCACATGCCTGATGCCCAAAGAGGTTGGAGGACATTGGATCCCCTGGAACTCGAGTTAAAGACAGATGTGAACTGCTTGCTGTTTCGTTGTGGGAATCTAACCTGGAACCTCTGGAAGAGCAGCAAGTTCTCTTAACCTGGGAATCATCCCTTCAGCCCCTAGTTTAAGTAATCCTATTGTTAAAGAATAGCATTTGCTATTGTTTTTTGGAAACAACACTGAATTATATTTAAGCTGTTTCCTTAGTGTTATTTCATGCAGATTGATGAATTATATACCTCATCAGTGTCTATATATGGTTTTCTCTTTTTTAAAATTTTATTAATTTTTATTTAAATTAAAAACAATCTTATTTTACATAACAATCCCAGTTCTCTCTCCCTCCGGTCCTCCAATTCCCCCCACCATCACCCCCATCCACTCCTGTGGCAGAGGGAGGGGAAGCCCTAGGCCCTCCCAATTTTTTTATAATGCCTTATATTGATATATTACTAGAATCTAATTGCTGACAAATATTTAAAATTTTTGTATTTATATTCATGAATGAGGTTGATTTGATGCTTGCTGGTCTTTTTTTCCTTACTACAGGGCCCTTCTTCCTTTCCGTTCTGGATTTGTTACTGAAATTATGCTGACTTAACAAATAAATTGGTTCACTTTCCTTTTTTCTGTAGTGGCTTGGAATAGTTAAATGACTTTATTATCTCTTCAGAGTTACAAGCTGTTTTGCTGTAATTCCATCTGGTGTTGGCCCTTTACATACGGGGGTGTGTGTGTGTGTGTGTGTGTGTGTGTGTGTGTGTGTGTGTGTGTGTGTGTGGCTGTAGTTACTGCTATATTTTATTTTTAACATGTATTTGGCAGAGTGAGGGCATATGCAGCTTGTGTGTGCTGAGATTAGTGAACCACTTGGTGGAACCTATTCTGTCCCGTTTGCCATGTAGATAACAGATCCTAACAGGTGTCCTGGCTTGGAGGCAGGTACCTTTACCTTGTGAGCTATCTAGGCTGGCCCTATTGCTGGATTTTAGTGGGCTATTTAGTGGCACTGGCTCTATCTAGTTTTTTTCTATTTTCAATTTGTGGCCTTTTCATAGTCTGTGTCTGTGATTGTGCGTTCTTTTATGTCTGCTCTCATTTCTTTAATTGGGTTTGTCTGAAGGATTAGTTTTTTGGGGCATAGTGGCACATGTCTTTAACCCCCCCCCCCCAGCACCAAGAAGGCAGAGACTGGTGGATCTCTTTGGGTTAGAGGTCAGCCTGATTTACATAATGAGTTCTAGGACAGCCAGAGTTACATAGTGAGACCCTGTCTCAAAAACAAACAGGAGTTAGTTTCAAAGATTCAGCTTTTGAATTTACTTGTCTTTGTAACTTTTGGAATGATTTCATATTATCTCTTTATTTCTTTAGAATTTTTGTCATTTATGGATATTTTTAGGGACAGAATTTCTTATTTTCAGTGTTATTATTTGTCCTGTAAATATGGACCACTGAGGTCACCCCATTCCATCCCTCCCCAGTCACCTTTGGTTCCTCAAGACAACTTGTGGTTTTTGCTTCTGGGCTTTCCTTGATCCAGTAGTAGTTGAGGATTGTTCTATCTCCTAAGGAGTTTGTTTGTTTTCACAATTAGTTTTAAAAAAGATCATGCACTGAGAATGTTGATTATAAAAAGCTTTCAGGCTGGGCATGGTGTTACTCACCTTTAATCCCATCACTCTGGAGACAGGCAGGCAGATCTTTGATGAGTTTGAGGCCAGACTGGTCTATATAGCAAGTTCTAGGACAGTCAAGGCTACATACATAGTAAGATCACTGTCTCTAGGACAAAATGCTAAAAAGTAAAGCTCTCATATTTTGTTAATACCTTTATAATATAAGATGTCATTTTATTCATTTCCTATTCCATAAAGCTTCTGTATATCAATTAAGCAAGATTGGTTGTATTACTGCCTTTCTATCCTTGGAATACCACTGTTTATTTAGGCTGAACAATTCTAAGAAAAGCGTATTAATACACTTATTCATTTGAACTGTATTTTTTTTCTTTGTCTTTGCTTTATGGTTTTTCTGCAGTTAAGTATTTAGACAGGACCTGCATTATGACTTCCTTATGAATTTTTAAGTGATTATCAATGATTTTGTTCCTGGTTTATTCTTTTCCTTGAATTCCACTTCCTTGGTGTTAAACAATGTCGAGGTATACAGGGATTTGAGTTTTCAGCTGCTGCCCCAGTGCCATGCCTGCCTATCCTCATCATGATGGTGATGGATTCTGATTCCACTGGAATTAATGAGGAAGTTGAAGTGGCAACCATATATGGCTAGGAATGGTGTGTCATTAATGACTGTGCCAAAATAATTGTGTATTAGAATCATTGATATAGATATCCCCAAATAGACACTTTGCTTTCAGGTAATGTCCCCAAATTAGTACTCAGGCACAGCTACCTATTTATCAGTTGAATGCTTCTTGGCTGAAAGGGCAAAATGTGCACCATTTTCAGACAGCCTTGAGGAAAATGTGTGTGTTTACCCTGTTTAGTACAGTGAGAGTTTCCCCTTTATGTCCTGTGATCAAGGCAGGTGTCCATGTATTCTCTCCCCCCACACCCCTTCCCCCCAGGGTTCCTATTGTGTAACAGCCCTAGCTGTCCTGGACCTCAACAGAGATCCACCTGCCTCTGCCTCCCAAGTGGTGGGATTAAAGGCATGTGCCACCATTGCCCAGCATCAAAGGCAGGTTTCTTTTCCTCCCAAAATACTTAATTTAAAAAATGGCAGAATATTGGTGAAAGAATGCTTTACCTGTGGGTGGAGAAAAGATATTCTGATAACAGAAATGTCAGAGAACAGAACCAGACTCAGATATAAAGGGGGGAAAAAAACTGAAAAAAATCTTGGATACAAAGATGACCTCATTTTAGAATATCAGCTAGAAAATCCAATTAAAGAATTGGATTTCAACATCAGTGAAATGAACCATAAATAGAAGAAATACCTCCTCCAGTTGGTCATGGTGTTCCTATTACAGAAGGAAGAAGTACTTTTAAGGCACACTTGGCCTCGGTACTTTGTCCTCACAACCATTCAGAGTTCCAGTTCCAGGGGATCTGACAACTTCTGACCTCAGGTCACGAGTTACACACATAAATATTAAAGAATTCACTTCTCATTACATATTGTGCTTCACATTGCACCCTGTGTCCCAGTGCCAAAATGTATTCCCATGTCACTAGAGGGATCTTTCAGTAAGAGATGACACCCATTTCATGGTACAGTACTCCAGGCATAGGGGAATACTTTCCTCTTTGAAAGGCTCCAGTTAAATTGGAAGTAAGAAGTAGGTTTTTTTTTCTTCTCCCATCTCATCCCTGATGTCTAAGACATAGTCAGTACTGAAAAAATACATACATTTGGAAATCATATCTACAGTTGCTTTTATCAACTTATCTAGCTTTGTTTTTATATTGAGTAATGTTTGTTAAATCATTTCTAGGGCGATGTTTTTATTGAGACACTAAAGAAACAAGCTAATGTTACATGTTTGTATCTTCATGGGTCAATTTATGATGTTAAATATGTGTATTTAATCAGACATCTGTCTTTTTTTTTAACAGATAGAAAAATCAAGAAAGATGTCTAAGGTAAGCTCTTATTTCATGTATCTATGGTATAAACAGAAATTGTTTTATATTTTCAGATACTTGAAAAGTAGGGTTTCTATAGGTAAATTTCCAATTTTGGGTTATTATTCTAAGTTTTGAGTTACCTTCATTTTGTCAATACAAATCCGTCTTAGATTTTTTTTCCCAAAACCAATCAAATAGTAATTCAAGATTCCAGTAACTCAATTAATTAAATTAATGGGGCTCTTAGACATGCTACATTTAGATTAGCCCTTATAATGGCCCAGGGCCCTGATATAAATCAATTTTAAAGGACATAAGCTGTTCACCGGTGTCTTGTTTGTAGGCTTGTTTGTGTATCCCCCCTCCTCTTTTGTTTCAGGTTGGGGGAGGAGGGAAAAAGACAGACAGATCTCTTACTGGTCTGGAGCTTCAACTATCCACCTGTCTTCATTTGTCCAGAGCTGGGATCACAAAGGCTTATTATCATCATGCCGGTCTTTTGTGTTCTCTTTTTAAATTTACATGCTAGTGATTGAATTCAGGTTTTCAGACTTGCAAGGTGAGTACTTCCCATCACCTAGGTTGTGGTTTTGCTGTTCTTGATTTATCACATCTTCAACTGTCTTTTAGTCTTAAGAGGCATTCATCAAGAATTCTTATAACCATCTTTTCACCGTCATTCATGGTGGCACATGCCAGGCTGAAGCAGGAAGATTGCAAGCTCCAGACCAGCCAGGAAGGTGTAGGGAGCCTGTCTCAAACCAATAAATAAATATTTCAGTGTAGTCCGCTGTGGGCTTAGTTTTCTGTTTCATAGTTTTGAAGCTGAATTCTCAATTGCACTCCTAGCTTCTCCGCCTTTCTCTAGACAAAGTTCTGAGTCATAAGAGGAAGAACAGCAAGAAATGTCTTTTTTTCCCAGATGTTTTCACAGACCCATCACTCCTGATAACTGGTTAGAGACTGTTCTTAAGCTAAATGTTGAATGAAAGGAGCCAATTTTCTGATTTCTCTTTATCTCAGGCCTTAATTTAATAATTTATCACACTGAAATAAGTTAATACTATATTTTACATAAATTGCTAAGCAGAGTATTTAACAAAATATTATGAATCAGCATACAGCTACGGAATTTGATTTGATTGTGGTTTTCTTTAATTTATATTTATGTGTTTTACGTATGTACGTGCGTGCGTGTGTGCGTGCGTGTGTGTTAAATTCTCTGGAACTGGAGTTACAGTGTGGATGCTGGGAATTGACACTGTTCTTCTGGAAGAGCAGCCAGTGCTCTTACCCACTGAGCCATCTCTCCAGCCTCAGATTGAATACTGTTTTCTGATAATATTATAAGTTTTGAAAATGATAATTTGTGGAGTTTGCTTGATTTTTTTTTTTTTTAATTTATGAGACCTGCTGATTACCTATGTTCATCACAAGTCTGATAATGTCATAAAAGCAACCAATAAGGTGTTTATTAGCTCTTTTTTATTTTTTAAATCTTAACTTTAGCAACAACCAACTCAGTTTGTAAATCCAGAAACTCCTGGCTATGTTGGATTTGCAAATCTTCCCAATCAAGTTCACCGAAAATCAGTGAAAAAGGGGTTCGAGTTCACACTGATGGTGGTTGGTAAGAAATTATCTTACTAAATATCCCCCTTTCCCAACCTATGAAATGTACTGACCTATAATGTAAGTGAGGAAATTTCTTTTTTGACAAGATTAACCTCTGGAACTTAAAAACATGTTTGTTTATTTGACCAGGATTTCATATATATGCACACATATATTCAGGGAATTTTGCTCAAGAGGAAAAATATAATTTTATGTCATTTCCTTATTTGTATACAGTGAAAGTTTCTTTGTATAATTAATTTTCAAAATAGTCACCAGTGATTCTTGGCTCCTGGTAGTCACAACCCTTACCAGTCTTTCCCCATACTGAATAGGTTTTTTGTTTGTTTGTTTTGTATTATGTGTGTGTGTTCATGTGTTTAACGTGCACACGTGTGTAGAGGCGCTTCTCTCCTTTCATCTTTATATGGGCAAGGATAGAGTTCATGTCATCTTGCTGTCCATCTCCCCCCCCATACCCCCTCCACCTTGTGCAGTTTAAACAGAGTTCATATAGCCAGTGGATGCTGAAGAAACGATATGACTTCCAAGACTAGGTCATAAAGATGCTGTGGTTCCTGTCTTGCCATTGCTTGATGATTCACTCTCGAGGAAGCAGGCTGTCGTGATGGTCTGAAAAGACTAAGGCAGGAACTGAGGCTGCCAGGAGCCTTGTAGTGACCCACATCAGGAGCACCCTCCAGTCCCAGTGAGGCTTCCTACACATCTGCTGTCCCTGCCAATATTGGCTCCTGTCTTAGGAAACCCCAAACCAGAAGGTTCTTAAAGATGCTGTCAGGCCGGCCTGGTGGCAAATACCTTTAATCCCAGCACTTGTGAGGTAGAGGCAGGAGGATCTCAGTGAGGCCAGCCTGGTCGACATAGTGAGCTCTGGGACAGCCAGGACTGCATAGAGACACCCTGTCTCAAAAAACAAAAACAACAAAAAAAGACACTCAAATTTTGTGACAACTCAAATTTGTGAGGTATTGTTAAAGGTGAATTTGAAGAATTATTACATGTTAGAGATGATTAGTGTAATCATTCAATTGTGTTTAATTTTCACTTAAAATAGTAATTCACAAAGTTAAGTGGAAGGCTATGAAATTGAATGGTTGCTTGCATGTATTTCTGTTGTATCAGATATAGAAGCTGTCATAATGTGTTATGAATCACAACATACATTGTGTTTTAGCATGCCGATGGAAGCTTAATGAACTGTGGTGGGGAACTTGATTGTTGTTACTTGGGTTTTTGTTTTGTTTTGAGCAGGATTTCATTATGTAGTCCTTCCTGGCCTAGAACTAGCTGTATAGACTAGGCTGGCCTTAATCTCACAAAGATATTCATGTGACTGCATCCTGTGTGTTGGCGTTCAAGGCTTGAGCCACCACACCTGCCTTTAATGATGAATTGTGGATTCTATTGGCCATATCACATTTTAGTTAATTTTTGGCAATTGCAAAAATTTTAAAACTAATAAAATAAGCATTTGAAAAGCTTTATGATGGTCATGACTAAGTAAGATATGATTATTTCTTAGAATTAATAGTACACAGATCTAAAATGAGGACATTTTTTATTTTTACGGAAGAAGAGGAGGTACCAACGTATTTTAGGAGTACAATTACATAATACAAATAATGGGAATTTAGGTTCTTATTAGAAAAGATCAGTGTACTCTGTCACATTATTATCTGATTATATAACACTAAAAAACCAAGCAGTGTCTTCCTCTGTGACCATGCATACGTCAGGGTCAGTAAGCTTTCTCAAAGGGGCTCATTAGTATTAGACCTTGATGGGCCATATAGTTTGGTCATGATATCCAACTCTGAACTTACAGTGAGAAAGCAGCTGTAGACAGATGGCACATAAACAAATAGGCAAGATCATGTCCCAGTAGAGCTTCATTTATAAGAAAGCAGCAGACTGCATCTGAATTGATGTCTGAAGTTTATCTGTTGGGGAATATTATTTTACAGTGTATTGCTTTTGCTTATGTTGCATTTGCTTAACTCTGTGAAGCTGTGCTACTGTGCCTTTCTAAAACACCTGATGGTCCAGTAAGGAGCCAAATGGCCAATAGCGAGGCAGGAGAGACGAATAGATGGGGCTGGGCAGGCAGAGAGGATAAATGTGAGGAGGAATCTGGGGGAGAAAAAAATCTGGGTACAGGAGAAAAAGGAGGAGAGCTTCAGGGACCAGCCACCCAGCTACACACCGGACATGGAGGAAGAAGGAAAGAAAAAGTTTACAGGAATAGATAAAGATAGAAGCCATGGCCAAAGATAAATGGGGAAATTTAAGAACAGCTGGCAAGAAACAAGCCAAGTTAAGGCAGGGCATTCATATCTAAGAATAAGCTTCTGTGTGTGCTTTATTTGGGAGCTATGTGGTGGCCCCCCCCCAAAAGTCAAAAAGAGCAAAAGAGTAAAATGAGTAACAAACAAAAAACATTTATCAGCCCCTTAAATAAGCTATCCTTCCTTCAGTGGTTAACTAGACGACTGAATAAAACAGGTATGCTTTGGGTTTGTTGTTACTGTTTTAACCCTGAACAGTAGCTAATGCAGGAATTTAGTCCTTTAGAGAAGGAAACCAAATTATATGGACCTGTCAAGTTACTACATGATTCTACCTTTTTCAGAGAGGGGAGAATGAAATAAATAAGACTACAACAGGTCACAGAGTTAGAACCTAAGATAACCAGGCAGAATTGTCAAGAATTCCAGAATTATACACTGGGAATTAGCTGAATGACACTAAATCTGTGTGTGTACAGTATAGGTTACTAAAGCTGGGTAAAATGTTACCATCAGAGACAATGAAGTGAACTGGAGACTATACAAGGTTAGAGAGTTTGTGTATGGGTGCAGACATTTGCATTCCAGCTGTTCAAAGAGAACTCTTGTTGAACACTCAGAGCACTTAGAGTCTCTAGGGGCTAAAGTAGACATCGAATCTGCGGTTATCCTTAAAAAGTTATAAACAAGCCTCGGAGAATCAAACTACTAATAAGTCAGAAATATCACTTATTAAAGACATCAATAAGTGTGGTGGTGCATGGCTGTAAATCCAATGCTTGAGACCTGGCTACGTAACCGAGAATAATCTTAAACTCCTGATTGCCCAGCCTTTACCACATAAGTACTAGCACAGTGCCTAGCTCTCCAATTCATTTCATTAGGCAAGCTTTATTCCATTATAAGTCACAAGTACAGAATAGTGTTTATGTACAAAAGTTTAGCAAGACCAACAATGCAACCTATGTTTCTCTAGTATGATCTGTGTGTTGCTTAAAAAAAATCATGATAGGGGCTGGAGAGATGGCTCAGAGGTTAAGCGCACTGGCTGCTCTTCCAGAGGTCCTGAGTTCAATTCCCAGCAACCACATGGTGGCTCACAACCATCTATAATGAAATTTGGTGCCCTCTTCTGGCATGTAGGCATGTATGCCAGAATAAATAAGTAAATAAATAAATAAATAAATAAATAAATAAATCATGATATGCAGAACTATGTGATGCAGATTCATGAGGCTTATGCAGAAAATAGGAGCACATAAATCAAGATCTTCACCATTGCCACATTAAAAGACCTTAGGAGGGGGCTGGAGAGAAGGCTCAGCACTGCTCTTTCAGAGGATCTGGGTTCAGTTCCAGAGTATCTTAATGCCCTCTTCTGGCCTCGGGCACTATATACATTGTGGTATCCTTGCATGCAGGCAAAATACATCATACATAAGAAATAATTTTTTTAGCTCTACAGGAACATTATAGTGTTATGTTATCTTAGACCATTTTTATCTTGTTAGAATACCATGGATGGGTAATTTATGAAGAAAATACTTTGGGGAACTATGAGTCCAGTGTGACAAAGGACCATATCTAAGGGGATTTCTTGGCTGTGTTGTGTTGTAATTGAGGGCATTGTGGTGAGGGAGCATATTTTTCATAACAGCCAGTCCTGAGATAAAAGTAGTAATCCATTTTTGAGGATAAAGCCCTCATGACCTATCTACTAATACCATAATGATAGCTGAATTTCAAGAGTTTTGGAAGGAATTTTTAAAAACTTTTTAAGATTTACTTTTATTTTATGTGCATTGGTGTCCTGCCTGCATGTGTTTCTCTGTGAGGGTATCAGAGCCCCTGGAACTGGAGTTACAACTGTGAGCTGTCATATGGGTGGGAGGAATTGAATCTGGATCCAGCCAGTGCTCTTAACCACAAAGCCAACTTTCCAGCCTGGAAGGAACTTTTAAATCTGAGCTAATGGTTATAATAACTAATCAGATAACTAGTTTGTCTCTGAAATGGGCTGTATAAAGGATTGTAGCTGTCAGTTGCTGGGAAGTATGGACATGAACTGTCCAATGACAGATGGAAAGTTTTAGCACCAGCATGGTGAGTATGACCCAAGACATTGAGGATTTGAAGTAACTGATAGATGTTTTATGTGTGTGCATTGGAGTTTTTTTGTATTCTAGTTTCTACCTAGTGAACATTGTATAAATGTAAGCAAATGTGAAATTTGTATTATACTGATATAGTTCCCTAATATGACAATTCCATTGCAATAGATTCTTAGTTTCAAGTGTGTTAGTTAGGAGAGCTGGCTAAATGAATAGTTTGTCACAGTAACACACGGTTTAACTTTTCAAAGTTGTTACCTACTGTGGTATAAAATTTACCAGCAAATAATTTTAAAATGAGATCTAAATAGATAGAATCAGGGTCTGAGGAGAAGAGTGGTTAAGAGAACTTTCTGTGGCCAGGCCATGGTGGCACACACTTTTAATCCCAGCACGCAGAGGCAGAGGCAGAGGATCTCTGTGAGTACAAGGCCAGCCTGGTCTACAGAGCGCATTCCAGAACAGCCAGAGCTGTTACTCGGAGAAACCCTGTCTTGAAAAAGGAAAGAAAAAAGAAGTCGAGGCTTATTCTAAAGTACATTCTATACACCTGTGAAGAGATCATTTGTTTTGATCATGCCACTAACAAATTCTACAGTCCCATAGTCTTGGATTCAAATTAGTTTCCTGTTCTTTGACTTTGAGCAAGTTGCTCACCTTCCTTGAGCATCCATTTCCCTTTTTGTGAAGCAGATGTGGTGGTAAACACTAGGGAAGGAAGGTCATGACAGTGTTTTCATTTTCCTTTAAGGTGAATCTGGTCTAGGAAAATCAACTCTCATAAACAGCTTATTCCTGACTGATCTCTACCCAGAAAGAATTATACCAGGAGCAGCAGGTAAATATCCTACATTACTGTGAAGTGTCATTTTCCTGAACATTGTTAGAGTATATAATAGATATCTTAAGCTTTAAATGTGTGTTTTGTTTAGTCACTTTGCGTTTTATAAATTGTCACTTAAGTAGGCAAACTGTGCTCTATCTGAGGTCCTAGGATCTTGGTTGTAGACTTAGTTTTATACTTATCTGTGCAACTAACCTTTATTTCAGTTTGTTACCTATTAAATGACCTAATTTTCTATCCATACTGCACACTCAGCTGAAAGAATTTTATGTCTTTAACAAGTTGGGTGGTGCTGGCACACACCTTTAATCCCAGCATTTGGGAGGCAGAGGCAGGTGGGTCTCTGCAAGTTTAAGGCCATTCTGGTCTACAGGGGGAGTGCCAGGACAGCCATGGCTACACAAACCCCGTCTCAAAAAAACAGAAACAGAAAGTTATGTACAAGAGAAGGTAGCTCAGCGGTAGAGCCCTTTCCAGCGTACATGAGGCCATAGGTTCAATCTTCATTATTATCTAAAAAATATAATCTAAAATGTTATATAAATAGAAAATTACTATAGGAATTTATGTCTAATCTGTCTGTTCTCTGATTATCCCAGCATAGGATACTGGGATTCTCATTATATGCTTGTTTGCTTTACAATACTAGGAATCAAACCTTTTTGCTAGGCAAATGCTCTACCTTATCTCCAGACTTACAAATACTTGTTGATAAAAATGGATTAAGCTTATAAAGTCAACCACAATAGAAATATATGATCTTTTCATCAATACTTTTCTATTGTTTTAAATGAATGCACAGATTATTTTCTTTGTCTTAGAATCCTAGGATTTTAAAATGTTTCCTGGTCCTCTGTGTGTGAAAGCACACATGTCAGGAGACAGCTCACTACCACTTCTTCCACATGGGCCCCAGGAATTGAACTGCCATTAGGCACTTGTTCTCCCTGAGTCATCTTGCCAGTGCCAATACTGGTAATTTTTAATTTTAAGATTTTTAATTTATATGATTGTTTTGCCTGCATGTATGTATGTGTACCACATACTTGCCTGGTTCTCTCGGAGGTAGGATCCTCTGGAACTGGAGTTCTAGATGCTTGTGAACCATCATGTGGGTGCTAGAAACTGAACTGTAGTTTTCTACAGTTAAGAACAAGTATTCTTAACTGCTGAGTCATCTCTCCAGCTTCTCAGTGTTGGTTTTTTAATGATCCCAAGAAAAACATTCATTTTTAGCAACCAACATTTCTCATGCTGACTCAGGATCATTTTAAACAGTCCTTATGTAGGCATGCACTGACCTTCCAAGTCATTTTCATAAGAACATAAATAATGGATAATCTCTCCTTTAGCATGCTGCCTTGATTTTATGGTACATTTTCTATTAAGCTTGTTTCTTTTCTAGAGAAAATTGAAAGAACTGTCCAAATTGAGGCTTCAACTGTTGAGATTGAAGAGCGGGGCGTCAAGCTTCGGCTTACAGTAGTGGACACACCTGGCTATGGGGATGCCATCAACTGCAGGGATTGGTATGAACCCACAGAGGGTGCAGAGCCCCCAAAGTGCCAAGTACTCTGTATTGTTTTCATTTACTGAGTTGATGAATTCACAGTTGTAGATAATGTCAATAGCATGTGAAGTGTTGGTTCTAATCATTTAAATAATGGCTGTTTGGAAACAGGGTCTCACTATGTAATACACGCTGGCCTCAAACTCAAAATTCTCCTGCCTTGTTTTCCTAGGTATTTTGATAGTAGGGATGAGCCACTATGTCCAGCTTGAGAATTACTAAGACCTGAGATTTAAAAATTAATCATATATAAACTGCTGACATAAACAAAGCACTGTGAACTGCAAACAGTGGACAAGTTGCTGTTTATATATGTATGACTCTTCTATATGGTTTGAGGTGAAATTTGAGTCATAGTACCTGTGAATGACTTCTTTGCCATTGTTTTACAAATAAGGAAATTAAGAAGGTAAAGCAGCATGTTGCCTTTGCTGTGCAGAAAATCGTACTTTTGTACCTGCTTCCTCCTTGTCCTAACCCTGCCAAAATAAAGTATCAACTTAGCAGCACTAACTGAGAAAAGGAAGGAAGGGAAAGGCGCTCCTTTGCCTTTGCCCTTCTTCTGCATTAAGAGTGTCTTAATGCTCTTCACCTGGAATTGGCGGCACATACCTTTAATCCCAGCACTTGGGAGGCAGAGGCAGGCCTGGTCTATAGAACGAATTCCAGGACAGATTCCAAAACAATACAAAGAAACCCCGTCTTGAAAAACAAAACAAAACAAAACAAACAAAAAAATATTAGTTAAAAATGTCGCTCAGAAGACATTTCACCATTTTGTGAACATGCTGTCCTGTTTGGCAGTTTTGTAACCCTGCCTTGGACCACATGCTTTCTGACAGTACCCTGCTTCTTGGCCTCCTGTCAGGCAGTTGTATGGCCTGAAAGGGTTGGCAGCCTTCCGATTTCAAACTCTACCGGTCAGGTACTTTGCAACCTGTCTTACTTAACCCTTGTGTACTTAACACTTGTCACACTTTCAACACACACACACACCCCTTATTTTGCTAAAGATGAACATAGTCTTCTGTTATGGATTGTTTTATTTACTATATGGGAAAGGGGAAAGAAACTTGTTTTTCTTTTGACGTTAGGACTTCCTGTCTCTGTACCCTATGATTACTGTTGAAATTTGTGTTTCAGTTTTAAGACAATCATCTCCTACATTGATGAGCAGTTTGAACGCTACCTGCATGACGAGAGTGGTCTGAACAGGCGGCACATCATTGACAACAGGGTACATTGTTGCTTCTACTTCATCTCACCGTTTGGACATGGGTGAGTCAGTTGTTTACCAGGGAAACCTGCTGCGTGTTGTCAGATAAGAATTGAGATGATTTTGAGGGAAAAAGCTGTTAGAGTCCTATGCTTTCCCTAAATGTGTGACTTTTGAACATTGCTTTTAGATTGAAGCCCTTAGACGTTGCATTTATGAAAGCCATACACAATAAGGTGAATATTGTGCCTGTCATTGCGAAAGCGGACACACTCACTCTGAAGGAGCGTGAGCGGCTAAAGAAAAGGGTGAGTAAGAGCTGGCCACCCATGCCTCCTCAGCATGACTTTGAGCCAGCTTCCTAATAGGAAGGAAGGAAGACGTCAACTGAGCTGCCAGAGGCAGAACTACAGAACCCATTTCCCATTGTGTATTGGAATTCAAAGTGTACTCCGTATTTGTAGGGTTTTTGTTTGTTCTACTTTTGTTTGTTTTGTTTTGTTTTTTACTTTTCATCCTCATAGAAGAATCAAATTTATAGTTTAAATTCTTCTGAGATAGAAATACCCTTAGTATTGAGTAGGAGGTGGCTGAGTAAAGGAGCTCCCAAAGCAGAAGTGGATGAAGGCTGCTCGCTCCAGGAAAGTCCATTATCTGAACCCAGATGTTCTCTGCAGTGGATCACTGAAGACTGCCTAAGTAGAATTGTTCCCTGTATTGAGGTTTTGAAAATATCTCGCAGCTGTCCATCACCTGATGCACCTCAGCCAGTCCAACACTCAGCAGTCTCTGGTGCCCTGTCTGGTTGTTTAATTAATTGTTACAAGGATTAAAAGCATGTACCACCATGCCCAGCTTAAAATTAACTAATTAATTTTCATATTTTGAGGCAGTCTCACTGTGTAGCCTTGGCTGGCCTGGAGCTCACTATGTAAACCAGGGTGGCTTTGAATTCAGAGGCTCACCAGCCTTTGCCAACAAGTGCTGGGATTACTCTCCAGAATTCTTTTTGCCTGCATGATATACTCTTCCTCCCATTTCATGATGATGTATGAGACACAATTGCCCAGGAACTTTAGGTGCTCATAGTGTCTCGTTGTTCTCGGGCTCTTGTATTAGTAGATGATTGTGGGAGTACTTTCAGTTAGCTGGTGTACTAGGGCTGCCATTAGTATTCCTACTGCTTTATATGTTGAACGTGATGTTTTGTGGTTATTACTATTATTGTCATTATTCTTACAGAAAAGCTCCCAAAATTCAAACATATATAACCTTTTTACAATTCTTAAAATTACTTGAAAATAACATATCAGTTGTTTGATTATTGATATACAAATGATACTTACGTATTTCTCGGTTTTTGTTGTTGTTTGGTTTTTGTTTTAAGTTGATCTTGTAGTTTTGACTGATCTGGAACTTGCTAAGTAGACTAAACTGGCCTTGAACTTACAGAGATCTGCCTGCCTCTGCCTCTGCCTCTGCCTCTTGGGTACAGTTCTTATTATGAATTTCTAATATGAGTTAGCTAAAATGTTATATTTAATTAAAATTGATTCTAGTTTTGTTATTGCTCTAGATTTTGGATGAAATTGAAGAGCATAACATCAAAATCTACCATTTACCAGATGCAGAATCAGATGAAGATGAAGATTTTAAGGAACAGACTAGACTCCTCAAGGTAAGAACCGGCTCCAGGTACATAGTGTGAGCATTCCTCCCTGTTTTCTTGTGTACATATTTTAAAAGACACATTGGTCAAGAAGGCTTCGGTGACAGAAGACTGGGAAAGTCGTATTACAGTAATATATTTTGGTTTCAGTGTATTTAAGAAATTTTTACCTAAGACTTGAAAATGTCATTTCAGACTTGATTTGTTCCATTTGGAAAATAACTGACATTTCTAAGTGAAATTTACATGCATTTAGCACTCAGTCAAACATAGCTAAAGCCTGGCATACTGGCTTTATACTCATTTCATACCAGCACTGGGGAATCTGGGAAATGCAGAGGCAGGAGGATCACTGTGAATGATGTAAACCAGAGTGGCTTTGAATTCAGAGGTCGACCAACCTGCATGATATACTCCCCCTGCCATCTCCTCCCATTCCATGATGATGCATGAGACGCCTGCCTATTGCCCAGGAACTTTAGGTGCTCATAGTGAGTGTCTCTTTGTTCTCGGGCTCTTGTTGAGTTTACATAGCCAATTCCAGGCCATCCATAGCAATGTATTGAGACCCCTGTCTCCAAACAACAATAACAAAAGGTAACTTCATAATACAGTAGCAAGCATCCATTTCTGTGTCCATTCTAGATTTTCAGTGAACATTGGTAATCTCTACTAACTTGTATTTCTTTCTAGGCCAGTATCCCATTCTCTGTGGTTGGCTCCAACCAGTTGATTGAAGCCAAAGGCAAGAAGGTTAGAGGTCGTCTCTACCCGTGGGGTGTTGTGGAGGTGGAGAACCCAGAACACAATGACTTCCTGAAGCTGAGAACAATGCTCATGTAAGATTTGGTATAGTCATCATGGCAGAGCTTAACATGAAGAATAGGACATTCAGAAATTGGGAATACTCTATCAGACTGACAAGACCATTAAATTAGGGACTGAGGTTCTTTACTGGGGCTCTGACTCTCTGTTGAACTATCCTCTTTCTCATAGTTCTTGTTCTCTTGCTCTCTCACCTTGATTCACTGACACTAAAGGAAAATTAAGCCTTAACTATGGCCCAAGAGGTCCTAGCTCCTGCTAGAAGATGGACAGCCTCTTGCAATTGCCCCAGGCCCAGCTCTAACACATGGTGCTCCTCCTTGGTAGATGTCCCAATTAGCCTTGAGGTTTCCATTATTTTTAGTAACTGATAAACTTTATAGTTGTTTTACCTATAGTAATAGTAATAAAGATGTTGCTTGGCTTCAAACTCAATGTGTATGACTTTGAACTTCTGATTCTCCTCCTTATACCTTCCCAGTGCTGGTATTCTATGCATGTGCCACCACACCCAATTTATATAGTGCTAGGAATTGAACCTAGGGCCTTATGCATGCTACACAAGGTCTTCATTAACAGCCCCAGTTATAAGCCTCAGCCTCGTTACTGTTAAGAGAGTAAAGTATAGCTGTTAACTTTCTATTGCTGTGATAAAACACCACAGCAAAGGCAACCTGTAAAAGGATTTATTTTAGCTTACTCTTCTAGAGGGAAGCAGCAGATGTGGTAGTTAGTCAGTGGCCGAGAGTTCACTTCTTTAACTAAACACAGGAAGAGCACACTGGTATTGCATGACTGTCTTGTTCTATTTCCTATTGTTGTAATTTATAAATATGAAAGATTATTTGTCTCTTTCTGGAAGCTAGAATGTTGGCATCTGGTGAGGGTCTCCTTGCTATGTTAAAATGAATCAGAGGTTATCACATAATGAGACAGAACAGAAAAACTATTTTATTTTTATTAGCTTGTGATTATACATATTTTGGAGCACAGTGTATTTAACACCCATATACTGTATGTACTAAATAGTTTCCTTCTCTATATCAATTCTTTATATTGGCTTCAAGCTTTCCTCTTATAGTTCTCCCTAAAATATACTCCTTTAATGAAAACAGTTCAAAGAGAAGTAATGTGAATAAACTAATATTTTGGTTAGTTAAAATTGCCACTTACTAACACTTTAATGAATGAGAACCAATAACTAACATCTAAGTTACTGTAAATGTAGCATAATAGTTTTGAGAAGAGAAGAGATAAGACACACTTAGTCTGCAGTGCTAAGCCCAAACTGTCCTAGCCCCTGTCATCCAGGGAATGTTAGTGCTGCACAAGAGGTGTGGTTCTCTCTGATATCAGTTGTGTATTTTTTGTTTGTTTTGTTGCTTTTCAAAACAGGGTTTCTCTGTGTAATAGCCCTGGCTGTCCTGGAACTAGCTCTGTAGACCGGCTGGCCTCGAACTCACAGAGATCCACCTGCCTCTGCCTTCCGAGTGCTGGGATTAAAGGTGTGCCACCAATGTCCAGCACACATTGGTGTATTTCTTACAATGAAGATTCAACTACCCTTGTATCCATATTCTTACTATCCTGAGTAAACAGGAATGTGTTATAGTGATCTCTACACATTTATAAATGTGTGTGTAGCATTTGAAAAAAGCTGTGCAGACACCTATTTGAATACTCTTTTCATAAGATTTTTTAAGAGAAATGTTTTATTTCACATATCATTTACCTAAAAGTCTTGTAAAGTCTCCTGTGTATCCTCATCCCTCCAGTGCTAATGGCTTTGTACTGTGTCTAGTAGTGCCTGTGGCTGTGTTCAGGAGAAAGTATTCTATCCACACCTGTGTGCTGTAGCTTTTTTGTGATTGCAAAGGAGCATACTTCACAGTTTATCCTGAGATTCCAGCAACCTGTGTACAGTTTGCTAAATAATTGCTTGGGCTCTTAGTTCTACCAGTTTTTTCTATGTTCTTGATTGTTGTTGTTCTTGATGAGACTGACATACATATAAGTCCCTGTTGTATTCTCTTTTTCAGCACCCACATGCAGGACCTACAGGAAGTGACCCAAGACCTTCACTATGAAAACTTCCGTTCTGAAAGGCTGAAGAGAGGTGGCAGGTTGTCACACCGTCTTGCCCATATCATGTTCCCTAAGTCACTTGCTTTTGTCTTTTGTGTGTCTACCTCAGACTTCTTGATCACAAACAACATGTGCTTCCTATTCACAGATTGTTAAAAGAATATTGCTGATTCAGTCAAATGGGGGTAGGGAAGAGACATTCATAACGTGCACATCAAGAACAGCTTTGGAGGCTAGAGAGATAGCTCAGTGGTTAAGAACCCTTGCTCCAAGGCTAGAGAGATGACTCGGAGGTTTAGAGCACTGACTGCTCTTCCAGAGGTCCTGAGTTTAATTCCCAGCAACCACATGGTGGCTCACAACCATCTGTAATGAGATCTAGTGCTGTCTTCTGGCCTGTAGACAAACACGGAGACAGAACACTGTATATATAATAAATCTTCAATTAAAAAAAAGAACATTTGCTTCTCTTGAAGGGGATCTGGGATCAATTCCCAGCACCCACAATGCAGTTCACAACTGTCTGTAACTCCAGTTCCAGGGCCTTCAATGCCTTTTGGCATGTTTAGGCACCAGGCATGCCTGTGGTACGTGGGCATATATGGCAGGCAAAGCACATACATGGAATAATAATAATAATGAAATGATTTTTTTTAAGATTTTATTTATTTATTATGTATACAACATTTTGCTTCCATGTATATCTGAATACCAGAAGAGGGCACCAGATCTCATAACAGATGGTTGTGAGCCACCATGTGGTTGCTGGGAATTGAACTCAGGACCTCTAGAAGAGCAGCCAGTGCTCTTAACCTCTGTCCCATCTCTCCAGCCCCATGAAATGATTTTTTTTTTTTTTTTAAGCAAACAGCTTTAGATGGAAAAGGAGGCTTGTATTGGTACTTCTTTAGTATTACTGTGTCCATAAGGATAGGCTCGCTTCCACTGAAAGCTGTAGAGGGTAAGCTCGCTATGGGTGTCCCTGGAGTGGCAGCTTTGTTCTCTACAGACTCCATGTGGCCACATTCATTCACCTTTCCTTTTTTACCATCCTAATGTATTTCTATATAAGATGTGTATTTTGTGTACGTATACATATATAGATACACACAGATACATAATTAAGAATTAAAAAGCTTTTTGAAGCATTATAATGTTAATTTGGAGACCAGATATTAAGAAAGGTGTAGACATAGGAAGTACAAGAATTCTTCCTAGCATACCTAACATGCCCTGGTGGTGTTGCCAGTGTGCTTAGAGGTGCTTTCCTTGGTCCTTCTCCACCAGGCTCTGCTCACTCAGCTCCTGTGGCTCCTTCAAGTGTAACCATTTTTTAGTCACAAAGGGGAACTTAAACTAAAACCAGGACCATTCTTCGGGTTAGACCTGCTATTTGTGACTGTGAAATGAGAGTCAGATCATCTTCTGAATTCCAAGTTTCTTCCTGTGTTCTCTTAATTAAAGAAACTGTAAGCATGTAACTATAAAGTAGCGGTCTTCAGAATTGCAAAGTTTTCTTTTCAGAAGTATATTACAGTATTCCAATTGTAATTTTTTTTGTTATTCCCTTAGGAAAGTAGAGAATGAGGACATGAATAAAGACCAGATCTTGCTTGAAAAGGAGGCTGAGGTAAGTAGAATAGTCATGTTCTGGTTTCTGTAGCTGTTTTCTATCCAAAGATTTTTTTTATTAAATAATTTATTTAAATTTATTTTATGTGCATTGGCATAAAGGTATCAGATCCCCTGGAACTAGAATTACAGGTGGTTGTGTGCTGTTATGGGTGCTGGGAATTGAACTCAGATCCTCTGGAAGAGCAGCCAGTGTGCTTAACTCCTGAGCCGTCTCTCCAGCCCTATCCAAAAATATTTATAAATAACTTATTATAGCTTTCTTGCTTTTTTGAAGCATTATACACAAATCTTTTAAATATATGTGTACATATAATATATATATATATATATATTTTAAATACACGCCACATTCAGTCTTCAGTAGCAATTTAGCTAATAATAAAAGGGAATGTGACTGATTTTTATAAAATGTTCAGAGACCTTTTTCTCTACACATAGACAGTAACCAACTGGGAAACACAATGAAGCTGCCATTTTGCATTCAGTTACCAAAAAGGATAGAAATACATAGGACTTTTATGGAAGAAGTAGTTAGGAAATGCTTCTAATACGATTTGTAAAGATTTAAATAGATAAAGCATTGTGGATAGGACAAGTTGCTACAAGAATTAGTCTTTTAAACCTCTAGATTTAGAACTGTCTATAAAATACCCTAGCAAAGTGTTGCTTGCTCTTTCCATTCCTAGACAAAGTAACTCTAATGTTTGAAGGAGTAAGCAAGCATGTGAAACACAGAGCTCATTTATTTTCATTGTTCTAATGAGCTTTGCTTTCCTGGTTACAGAAACGTTTTAGAGAATGGTTGATGCCCAGATAACCAGCTAGAAATCGATAAGGAATAGAACTGTGCATTCAGACCTGGTAGAATTATGGAGTGCAGATTATTTAGTGGTTATGTGGTCATAAGGGTCAACCTTTTGTAAACAAAAAAATCAATTCTTTAGCCAAATCAGTTCGCTGTGGATATCTGCCATAACCACAAAGTCACCTGAAGAAAATCTTAGTAAATATTTTAGAATACTTGCCTGGAGCTTTTCTAATCATATACAAATGTCAATGGCAGTAATTGGTAAGGAGTCTAGGGATGTGGCTCAGTTGGTAGAGTGCTTATCTAGCACGTAGGAACTCCTGTGTTAAGGCATAAGCTAGGCATGATGGATTTTGCCTATAATTCAGCACTTGGGAAGTACAAACAGGGAGGTCAGGAGTTCAGAGTCATCTCAACTACATAGGGAGTTTGAGTCTAGCCTGGGCTACATGATAATGTATCCCAAAAATAAAATAGTTAAAGATAGCAGTGGGTAAGCATTGTTTTCATAACTAAGACCTTGTTGTCCAGCAGAAAAGATGAATCATTCCCACTCCCCTTTCCTTTCTGTTCCCCGAAGGGTAATAGCAGTTTTCTTTCTTGTCTCATTGTCTTAGTCTATTGCTTCTCTTTATTGGTACATTTTGTTTTACTTGAATTGTGTATTTTGTCATTTACATGGATTTTTGATGAATTGCTGATCTTTTAGATTGTTTGTAACTTCTTTTTATTTGAACATATTACTGTATTTGAGGAAAACAATAAAAGCTAAATATTATGACAGCACCAACACTAAATCTGACATGTACCCCTTCATAGCTTCGCCGCATGCAGGAGATGATTGCAAGGATGCAAGCCCAGATGCAGATGCAGATGCAGGGTGGGGACAGTGACAGCGGGACACTCGGGCACCATATGTGAGGTGTGTTTTCATGTTAGTAAGTTGGGGAGGTACGGTGATCTCTGTCTGCTCAACCTTAAATATGATAAGCTCCTGTCTTACACCTTACCAATGTTTTGTGTTTTTGAATCTGCCATTGGCTGTGTCATTAGCCTTTCATTGAAAAGCAGAAACCATTCTCTGCTGCCATCTACTGTCTAATAAAGACATCCCTATTTTCTAATTACAGATATAATTTGTGTTAAAGAAAAATTTTAAACTTTATTAGTCATAGTGTAGGAAACTCATTAATTTTTTTTATTAAAAGTTTTTGCAGATGAAAAATAAAGATGCTAGGAAGAAGAATCAATGCCAACTAAACGAGAGTCGCTACTGCAGACTCACACCCCTTTTAGGCAGCCTCACATCACTTATATTTGTGGTCTGGTCTAATTCTCTATACTTTAAGTATCATATAACTTGACGGTTTCGGAGAGCTTCATAAATGGCATCTTGATTTAGTTAACTGGTCATAGATAAAGAACATTTTGCTCAACTTATGTTCGTTCATATGCAGAGGGAGTATTGGCAATGATAAAAGCAGTACATGCATCACTTCCATTTAAATTGTTTTGTTTTTACTTTCCAGAAAACACTGTTGGATAAAAAGAAAAGTATTCCTGATAAGTGCTGCAGCATCACGTTTTTTAATACTCTTGAAAGCGTGCCATCCGAATTTAAGTCCCTGTGTCTGAGGATTTCAGTTGGTTTTTTGGTTTTTTACTTTTGATGGTTTTGATTTTTGGTTCTTTTTCCCCCTCTGGTATGAAGTACATTTAACATTTATATTTCATTGCTATGTTACACTTTATGTTGCGTGAAGTAAACCCTGATTTTCTTCTTCCTTAACCACTAATGTTAGAATTTATTTCTAAGAATCAGTCAACCTGTCTACTGGTAATAGTGAATTTCTTTGATTGAGCTGGCCTGACTAATCATTGACAAGTACTCTTGATTTATGTCTAGACATTTTTGTTTGCTCAGAATATCCCTGTGTGGTGGACATGATGTGCCTGTGACAGAGGTGGCTGTGCATACTTGGTGGCAGAATATTTGCTTAATAGAATGAAGTCACACTGTTAACTTTATATTTGTGCAGAACACCTAAAACTGCTTTTGCTGCTGTAGTTAATACGGTTAATTCATCTGCACATTTATCTGTTAACCAGGCAGAACAGAGGGTTATCTAATGAGAGAATGTTTATACTTCAATAGCTTTTAAAAAGCAGGATTTCAGGGTTGAATTTTAAGAGCTCTGGATTCTAGTGCCAGATCCTTTTCAAACCTCTGTAGAGAACTCACTACAAGGACGTTTTATACTGTGGATGCTGATTATGCTACGCCTTGGAGAAAACCAAAGCAGCTATGAGCTCCAGCTTCTTATTGTAACAAGACTCTACACAGTAAGAGTCAATAAACTTTTTACTCAACTAAGAAGGCAATACTTTTTTAAAGAAACCAAATGTTTATATTTTATACTGCACTTTAATGTACTTTGTATAACTAGGTGCAAAAGATCAGCCATGGCAGTGGAAATCATAGTCCTTAGCTGGCATGGATCTGAACCCAGGCTTGTGATTGGGAGGTGCTCTTGCACAAAAGCCACTTGAAGCCCCAATGCCTGCCAGGTTTTCCTCTAACTCTTCCCTTTTTCAGTGATTTTCTACTGAGAGGAAAATAACCGTTTTTCCATTTGCAGACTGTCTCATCTGTTTTCAGTCATTGTCATTTTCCTCAGTTTGTGTAGTATAAAATGTCTTCATGGCAGGAATGAAAGGCAATTCAGATCTGTGCCGCAAACAGATGAGCAAAGCCGTGCCTGGTTTATAGTCTGGCACTCTGGCCTGCCTTCTCTTGCCATGTCTTCTAATGTCAGAAAGGGGCGAGTGAAGGAGACTGGTATGGGGGAAGCAAAGCAGAGTGCTAGTTCTGTGCTTTCATTTGGCTTCGGAAGAAAGTGCTTGGTTGAGGCAGGGATTTGTGTTTAATTCAGGCCAAAAGTCAGTAGTAGTACTAGTAAAATGAGATGTAAGAGTTGTTAGTTACAAATTACAGGAAATAATATGCTCATTTTGCCTCTTTATTATTGCATCACTGTGAATGGCCAGGGGTTCATTGTTAAAGTTCTTTAGAGTACACCCATACAATTCTTTGTTTGGGTTATTTTGTCATTAATTTGATTGGAGAATTTTTTTTTTTTTTTTAAAGAAAAAAAAACATTTCCAAGTATTCAGTGGGAGCCCCGTGTTTGTGAGTTAAGATTGCCATTTAGGGCCAGCTGACATCTAAGGATGGCCACAATTCTAAATCCCCTTTCAGTTTTTCCACCCAAATCTAAATATATACTTTTGCTAATAAGTAAATGCTCTCTAAGAAATAACTTGTACCTGTAGAAATGTATTTTGAAAACACATTTTACACATCAACTTTGTAGCCATTTAAACTAACCCTTTTTCAATAAAGCACTATTGTTTAGATATTAAATGATCAGTCCTCGTTTTATTTGAGTAAGGTGTTTGGTTCACTGGGAAGATTCGAGGCCCCAATGACAATTGTGTATCAGAACAGGAAGTTACTTGTATTAATAGCATGAGTACTGCATATGTTTTCATCAGAGAAAACCCAGATACTCCAGAAGAAATGGTACAGCTGGGACAGAACTATGTACAGGTTATCTAAATTATCTACAGATTATTTGGTAAAAATGGACACTAAAACTTCATGGGTAAGTTTACTAATTAGAAAATGAAGCAACTATTAAACTTAGTGGGAAGTAAAAGTGATCCATAAGTATTTCCAATTAAGGTTAGGAAAACAGCTTTTTAAATTTTTAAACAACTTCATTGGTTGGGAGTGTTTGAGACAGTCTCCCTTTGTAGCCTGACTAGCCTGGAACTCCCTGTGTAGACCAGGCTGGTCTCCAACTCATAGAAATCCACCTGCCTCCTCCGGAGTGCTGAGATTAAAGTACATGCTCAGATTTTTACGTTTTTTACATTTTTGTTTTGTGTCTGAGTATTTTGCCTACATGCATGTGTCTGTACCGTGTGCATGCCTGGTTCCTGAGGAGACTAAAAGAGGATGTCAGATTTCAATGGAACTGGAGTTAAGAGACAGTTGTGAGCAGCCATGTGGGTGCCAGAAATTGAATTTGAGTGTTCTGGAAAAGCAGCCAATGCTCTTACCTGCTAAATCATCCCCAGCCCAGGAAAACAACCTTTTTTTTTTTTTTTTTTTTTTTAAGTTTCTCAAGACAGGGTTTCTCTGTGTAACTGCTGTGGCTGTCCTATAACTCACTTTGTAAACCAGGCTGGCCTAGGAGGAGATCTGTCCGCCCAAGAGCTGGGACCACCTGATGGAAAGCAACTTTAAAAACCAGAATTTGGACAGGTGAGATGGCTCAGTGGCTTAGTACTTGCCATCCAACCTGATCAAACCTGAGTTTGAACCTGAGAATCACAATGCGGGAGAAGACTCAAAAGTAAATGTTCCAAAAACAACCATAAGGTTTATCCTAATCTGGGTGGATGATCAACTTCGTCTTGGCCTGATGCCCATTTGGGCAGCCAGACCACTGGGTTGATGGTCCCAGTACTGTCTGGGCCCCTCATCCTCTGCTTTCCGAGCAGTGCGCTGATCCCAGGGTAATGACAGGTTGCTCAGGTCTAACCTCATCCCTGCCCTTTTCCGTATGATTGACCGAACACGCAGTGCCAGTGGCTAGTTAGAGGAAAATGCTAGGGTGGTGGAGTGAGTTGGAAGGCCTCCCTACGTTGCTAAGCCTATTCTGCCAGTGCTCCTTGGTTGCCTTGGAGAAGCAGAGGCCCCTCAGTGTGCAGAAGCTCTCCCACCTTGGGGCTGTATACAAATTGTTCCTAAATGTATTTAGCCTAGGTGGTGGTTGAGACGCCTGGCTCCCTGCAGGGCCATTCAGTTAACCAATGGAAGAAGAAAGCGGGGGTGCTGCAAGCCACAGGAGTGGGGGGCACAAAATCTGGTCTCACCGTTTTGATTCCCAGAAAGAGCCTCAAAACCAGAAAGGAACAACGAAGGCTTCCAAGGCTCTTCTTTGGCGAAGCCTGCCTCCGGGACAGCACTTCAAGAGCGACCCTTTAGGACCATCTGGTGCCCGCAGACCACAGCTCCACTATTCCCGGGTGGGGCACGATGGACCGTAGACAGGAAAGAGCTGGGCTGACAGCCGGGGGCATGACCTAGGGTAAGAATGTCAGGACAATCCCGCGAGCTGGGGGCAGTCCCGGCCCCCACCCAGAACCGCCTTACTTGCTCAAGCCAGGCCATAGGCTGAGACCCGCCTCTGTGCCCCAGTCCCGCCCAAGGCTTACGTAGGGCCCACCCGCGTTCCAGAGGCCTCCGGTTTGTTCCGAAGCCGCGTCCAAGACCGAATCGTCCCGACGTGCCCAAGTGCAGAGTCAGACTAAGAACTCGCGGCTTTCCTAAGTCCCACCCAGCGTGCCGGAGCTCGGATCCACCCGCGGGGGAGCCGCACAGCGCGGCTTCTGACATTCGGGCTCTCACGCCCCGCCCTCCTCGGGTGGCCACCAATCAAAACTGCATACTGCG